CAATCAGCCCAGTCATGCATATTATTCGTGAAATCGTGGTGAAATGATTATACCAATTTCTATTGATTCTTCTCCAAATAACATACTCCCAGAATACCTAATATATAATGAAACACGAGCAGAATAATCATCACTGCTTCAGTTACCTATTGAATAGAATATATTTGATGCTTTGGTAACAAATAGTAGATAAATAAACGTGGAAATTTCCAATAAAAAAATATAAAATTATTATTATTATATTTTTTATTTTTTAAGCATGTAACTGTTTGATGTTTTATTAAAAGAAAATATAACTAGAAAAAAATCGACGCGGCCCAGGCATTATCATTATTATTTAAAAATAACGCGATAAAATAAGTTATATTTTTTGTCAAACGATTAACAATTAAGTGCATTACATGCTTAGATTAAAACGAAAAGGGTAGATACGGCACTAGCCTCACAAAAGTGATCCGCACCAATTGTGGTCCACGACCCTAATCGCTTTAGTCACAACTTGACATGCAAACGTCGTACATGTGAACGCCAAAAAGAAATATTGCTAATATTTTGTGTTTATATGATAAAACAATGTCTAAGCGTGTTTTTAAAAAGTGCTCAAATTGCTCAAGAACTAAAAATAAAACCCACGGCATCACTTTTCATTCGTAAGTACTATAAAATATATTATTTCATAAAAATTGCTGTTTGTTTTGAATCATATTCGGTAGTGACGTCGAGTACTGGTCGCGTGATTGGTCGCTAAAGCAGTGACGCGGATCTCGCCGTCCCGTTCGCGCTGCCGTGGGATCAGTTTTTGTTTGATGCAAGTATGAGCGTACCGTATCTACCCTTTTTGTTTTAATCTAAGATTACATGTCCTAAAAGTTTGGAGTCTGCCGCAAGACTCACTACCAACTTCTATGAAATATGGTTGCCACTTTTTGATTAAAAAAAATCGACGATCGAAATCACCTAGTCTCAAAATAACAAATACAATTAAACATAACTAATCTTCTTAGAAAAGTTGTGTTACTATGATTTCAGTTCTTAAAAGTTTTCTAAAGAATTATTTGAATGTATATTAATTATAGATGTAAATATGATTAAACAATATTACTGTTAAACATAATAAGTTAATACGTTGTAATTAGTTTAGAAGTGTTTAGTAATTTATCAATTCCATATCATTTAGAAATTAAAATTAGTGTAGGTGTATGTTCAGCAGTTAGATAAAACGAAATTTCTCGTTTTATTAGTTAAGAAAAAAATATATAGTTTTTCGTAACTGCTGCATTTGAAGGAAGCATAATATTAATTAACAGTAAAAATAAACTAATATTATAAAGCTGAAGGGTTTTTGATTGTAAATAATAAATTCCTGATTTGAGTATGAATTACTTCTGTTGATCTGATTTTTTTCTTTGCCATAAACTACACTATTGTTATTACAAGTGTACACAATGTAAGTGTTATTGTTATATATATTTTTGTTATTTCATAAAAATTGAAACATCGGTGATTTGTAATTATGACATAACATAAACCAATATTCCTTGAAGCAATTCAGTAACGGGTCAAATAATGAAATTAAATTTTATTTCCATGCTTGGAATAATTTATCAAAGCTTTCATATTTTTCATTAAAAGTTTAATTATCTCGTATATTCCTATAAGTACTTCGTTTTTTATTAAGTACTATTTTATTATTTATTAATACTATCAATACTGATTTCTTTGAGTAAATTATTGTTGTGAATTTTATTTATTTATTTTGAAGCTCTGTGAGTGTGACCATTTGTAAATGTTTACCAAAAACTTAAGTAGGAATGTTGTTAGAAAATAAATATTGACGTCATTAAAATGTGGTTTTATTTAAAACTATTATTAAGTTTCAAGTAGGTATACAAACTAAAATAACATAAATAGGGATTCGATGAATTTCATAATGCGGAAGGCACGTCAGATTACGAGTACATAAATCAGAATTTAAAATAGCGCCATCTTTATTTCCGATCCTTAAAAGATTAAGATTGGGTCGTTTTTCAGTTTGGTAAAATTTATTTTTGTAAAGGCAAAATCCAAATACGTTCTATTTGTTGAAAGTAAATTATTAAAGTCGACGTAACTTAAAAGTAAATAGATACCCTGTATTTTTAGGGTTCCGTTTCTCAAAAGGAGAAAACCAAACCCTTATAGGACTCACTTTGTTGTCCGTCTGTCCGTCCGTTTATCTGTCAAGACCCATTAATTAGAGAACACGTAAAGGTATCGAGTTAAAATATCTTATATATAAAATTCTCGTGTCACAATGTTAGTTACCATACTCGTCCGAAACGGCCTGACCGATTTTTATGAAATTTTATTTGCATATTCCGTGGGTCTGAGAATGGGCTACTATCTATTTTTCATATCCTTAAGTGATAATGGTTGTCCACCTGTAACGTAGTGTTCTGAAACCTACAATGCGTCTTCGCGCCTATATTCAAACTATTGGGTATTGTAACTATAATTGCTATTTCTTCTTTCAAATGTTTAATACTTGTAAAAGTATTCATTTGACATTGTGGGTTTACCTATAATGCGAAGAGATGGCGCTGCCTTGCAGCTTAAGAATAGCTAGAAGGAATTTCGACGCGGTCCGTGAGGGCCGCGGTAGCATAATTGGTCAGTGCATTCGCCCGGATTGCGAAGGGTGCGGGTTCGAGTCCCGTCTGCTGCCTGGTCCGCGTGGAATTTTTTCTAGTTATATTTTCTTTAGATGTGGATAAATATTATAAATATGAAAACAGTGATCAGAGGCGACGAGCGTGCCAACATTGTTTTTGACAACGCGATCATCTTATGGAGCTCCGTGGATCGTTCAAAGTACCTTTCGAACAGATGTCTAATAATGGTGGATTATTTATTAACCACTAAGTGGTTAATAATCCACCATTATTAGACACTAACATTCATAACGCGCCCGCGGCCAACTTCATGGTGTTACTATTGTGTTACAGTGATGCGCGCGCATCTCGAAATTTCACTCACATGATTTTTTCATAACGCGCCGCGGCCAACTTCATGCTGTTACTTTTGGGTTACAGTGATGCGCGCGCATCTAAAAATTTCACTCTCATCATTTTTTCATAACGCGCCTAAAGAAGTATAACTTCAAAAAAAAACTTAAAAATATGTATACTGTTTGTTATGTCGCAAACGTGTTAAAAAACGTTGTATGATATTCGTGTGGAATAAGTATTTGTATTTACAAACTCGTGGCTATGGTACTAGCCTATTCGTTTGTGATAACCAACTTATCGCAATAATATCATAAATAACTATCTATCTATATAATATATAGATAGAGTTTTATATATTATATAAAACTCAAAGGCGACTGACTGACATAATCAATGATCTATCAACGCACAGCCCAAACCACTGACTGGACGGATCGGGTGAAATTTGGCATGCAGGTAGATGTTATGACGTAGGCATCCGCTAACAAAGGATTTTGATCAATTCTACCCCCAAGGGGATAAAATAGGGAATGAAAGTATGTATAAAACTTTGTCAATTTTAAACCGATCGGGCTGAGACTTTGTATGCAGGTATAAGAAGAATCATAGATGAATGTCATTGTGTATAATACAAGCCTGAGAACAAAAACTGTAATCTACATTTCAGCTTTACACCGAAGCGAAGCGAGGGCGGGCCGCTAGTTGCGTGGTTTCGTCAACTAGCCACGTTAGAGACAAGAAAGATAAATTTGGTTGATCGAAACCAGTTACTATTAAAACAGAACCTATGGATAGGAGGTAAACAAACAAACATAGAATTTTCCGAATCAGTCGGCGTCTTCGAGTAATCATTTGTGAAATCGGTCAAAATGGAAGAGCAATGCTCTTGACATTCTGTAGTCTGCGCCAGTCTGCGCTTCACCGTACGCAGTGTGACCAGATTCAGTATTTTAATACTTTTTCAGTATATTTCATAGATTTTTCAGAACATCAGTATATTTTCAGGTATATTGCTGGCAGTCAGTATTTTTGGGTATATTTTGGTAGAAGTTATGGCAACACCGTAGTGAGTGATCGTCTTTGCGACAATGTTTGCGGAATGAGGGCTATCGCGTATGAATCCACCGCTAGAGGCGCTAGTGTAGCGTGAGGTCTCCGAAATGTCAAATGTTATTGATTGTTGGTTGTCTACGCGGGTTTATTTCTTATTAAAATAATGTTGTGAATAATTGGTAACAATTCGGCTTAATTATGGCAAATATGAGTTATGTGGCAATGAATGTCAGTTATTAAAAATTTGAGCTTAGAAAAATGATTATGTTCCCATTTTTTCCGAATAAAACGGAACTGGGCGTCACTGTGGCAAGGCCTATTATGTTTAGGATATGGTTATTTTGTGTTAAAATACGATCTAAATGTAACCTTTGATTTCATGTGCGTATTAATAAACTTTAAAAGTTACAATTTAGGACCTCACTCAACAGTGGCGCCATCTGGTGAGACAGAAAACGGTAGCCTTCATTCCCCGGAATGCGAACATTGGGGACTTCCCCGGATTTAGTTTACCTATACTTATACATGTTATCTATGAGTAAATTACAGATATGACAAGAAAGACGACCGTTGTCGGCGTTGTAGTATTGTAATACTACATATACAATTATCAATCAATACATAGTATTAATCGGACTTGCAGAATGTATGTTCGCCTAAAACTTTACAACTGCTGGGCCGATTTTAATGCGGTTTGCACTATTAGATAGAGCATGAAGAAATGAAGGAGGTTGTGTAAATTTTAATCCTTCGAAAAGGATGTTAAAATAAAACTCTAACATTTATTGTGAGTACGTATGAATAAATAAAATGTGTGAAAATCAGTATTTTTATTGGTATATCTGTCCTATGTAAGTCGGTATATTTCAGTATTTTTTTGAGGTGCCTCGGTATTTTCGTAAAATTTTATCTGGTCACACTGACCGTACGTCGATACGGTCGTCTTCCCAGCTAAATAAAATGCCCAGTTGCGCCATAGTAAACTGTAAAAACTCTACAAATACCGCTCGAGCCGGTCGTGATAAAGGAAATATCTCCTTTCATCGGTAAGCAAGGTTCATATTAAAATGTGTGCGATATATTTATAAATCAAATGTTTTACCGTCGTTTTTCTAATGATAACTACATCATTGAGTGTGTAACTTATGATTCGTAATACATTGCCACTTTTAGCAATACCATTGTGGAGTTTATTTATTAAAACACGCAATAAAAATGGACAATCGATCCTTTCAGTTTTCACATCGCTATGGTACTGTCACTAATGTCATTATGATGTCAATTGAAGAAAAAAGTGATGAACACGTTTCCGATTCATATCGATTTTGGAATCGGATCTTTCATCTGATGCGATACATCATTATCATTTCAATAATGTTCGCCTGGATATTTTGGGATGCGTAAATGATTTTTTTAGATTAGCTTTTATTTAGCTGTACTTGTCTCGTATCTGTCGGTAGTAAAACTTGGATTTTTAATTTGGCCCACTTCCCAGTTTCAGTTCGAAAAACGGAATAAAATTATTAGTGTTTAATTGCAGGTTTCCTAGAGACCCCAAAGTCAAAGATAAATGGATTGAAGCGACGGGGAATAAAGATTGGTTTCCAACAAAACACAGTCGCATTTGTTCTATACATTTTAACGAATACGACTTTACGGAAACGAATAAGTTTCGACGACTGCATACACTAGCAATACCGACTATTGATGTACTGAAAACGTCAAATAACAATGAAGTTAGTAGATTGAAATTGAGCTTAATTCTGCAACCATTCTCTAAACCTAAAATTCTCTATATTTGATACAGTTACCAACATTGCAGGTCTTACTACTTTAGTGTTTTTTTTATGTTAAAAGAATAGCAAGCAAGCTTATACATAGTCTGCCTGATAGTAAGCGGCCACACTAACCTATAGGAGGAAGCAATTCCTAAAACCTCACCCCGTTGCTTACTCTGACCAAATCCCCTACCCCGTGGAACCCTGAAACCTTTCTCACCGACAGAAACATAACACCACCAAAAAGTATTGTTATGTATAATCTTCTGTAAGGTGGAGGTTACTTCCACAGATAGACTCTTCAATTCGGGCGGCAAATCCGCTATGCCCTAACTCTCTTAAGTTAGCGCATAAGATGCGATATTGAAAAAGTTTAATCTCATCGTATGCATTCATCGTTGGCGTTTATCTCGTGTTCACGAGTACGTTTATTATTTGTTTGTTATTTTCTTTCTAGGAATTGTACACATACTTAAATTTTACAGAACATTGACCAAAAACTTATAACAAACAAACTTTGACTTTCCAACACGCCAAAAAACAATTAGAAATAAACAGCCACACCTCAAGTTACCAAATTGTCGTAATAGATTGTGAATCATGCTGTTTGGAGTTTCAAAATTTTAATTTGACAGTTCCTTGGCGTGTGGTTGTGTTTACCTATATTATGGTGTAGATTCTGGCATGATTATCTAAAACCTAAACTTAAATTTGGCAACAGTCTATCTTTGACATTCTCAAAACAGAATGAAAAGGATAAGGATCTTAAATCAAGTTTTAGGTTTAGAGAATCATGCCAGATCGACTCCTATTTTGCAAGTATCTGTTAGTATGATTGGGAATATTATCAAACTGATATTACATGAGTAGGTACTTATATTATTTTGTGTTACAGATCATCCATCAACCAACGACATCAAAAGAGAATGCGCCATTGAATATACCCAAGAAAAGAAATTTTGTACACAAACTGATTCTTGCTCAACAAACAATTTTAGAGAAAAACAAGCAAATAAAGCGGTTGAGGGAACAGAATCGTCGCAAAGATAAAAAGATACTCACACTAGTGTCCTTATTGCATCGCTTAAAAAAATCTGTTATAAGTAATGGGCACGCGAATTTACTAAATATAACCAATGTCTCGGTTGAAGAGCTTTAGACATTATATTCCCTACTAATGTTATAAAGGTGAATGTTGACTTGTATATTTGTCACGCAAAACAACTGGACAGATTTAGGTGAAATTCGGCACAAATAAAGTTGATTCCCTAGATTGAGATATATTATACTTAGCCATAAAATATTAGATTCCTGAGGGACTCTCAAAAAGCTGCGAGTAAATATGACCAATGTCACGTTTAAGCAATTATATTCGTAATTTTTTTTAGTGGTACTTGATACCAATAGCTTTCATGAAACATTGTTAATCTTAATTTCAAGGAGAAAGTGTAACATTTTGTTTAGATGTAAAAATCTAGCAGATATATAGTTAAAAATATAATGAAACGTATGATTTATTAAACTTATTTCTCGAATAATAACATTAAAATAAAATCATGTTTTATGTCGATTTTATAGTTTATCTTTCTGAATCGGTTTCGCCCGAACGGGGATTAGCATCACTAAAACGCTGTTCTTGTGACGTCACGGTAGAGCTGCGTTCAAAACCTACGCTCCGGATCCAACTTTTTACTTTATAATGGTTGGTACTCTGTGCTCTGAACACGCCACATGTTTGCTATTTCTTCTTCCAAATGTTTAATACTTGTAAAAGTATTCATTTGACATTGTGGATTACCTACAAAAAGAGAAGAGATGGCGCTGCCTTGCAGCTTAAGAATGGCTAGAAGAATTTCGCCGCGGCCATCAGGGCCGCGGTAGCATAATTGGTCAGTGCATTCGCCCGGATAGCGAAGGGTGCGGGTTCGAGTCCCGTCTGTTGCCTGGTCCGCGTGGATTTTCTTCTAATTATATTTTCTTTAGATTTAAAAACTACACTCAGGTCATAAGTATTGTCACACAGTAAAAACTTTTCTTTTAGAATGCTGGCCACAAAAATGTTTATTGAATTCGAATTTCGAATTGTTCATGAAAATAAAAATGTATACTTTTTTACTCATTTTTAAATATGGAGTGGACGCTTCATGTTGCAGTTATTACGTTGCATCGTTGCGGTTACGCGCCAATTCAAATTTTTGACATACTGAAAAATTAGAATATAACCAAAAGATTAGTTTATCGTACCATCAAACGATACAATGAAGACTCTAGTGTAGATGACAGGCTAAGAAGTGGTCGCCCTCGGTCTGTTACACGGTACATTTTTGTGAGAAAGGTGTTAAAACGAATGCAGTTGTGTATCAAAATACAGTCCTGACGAACCTTGTGGAACCTGTTTCTCATGCCATGTTGAATAACAGGCACTGGGTATTCCAACAAGATTCGGCGCCAGCTCATAGAGCGAAGAGCACTCAAGACTAGCTGGCGGCGCGTGAAATCGACTTCATCCGGTATGAAGACTGGCCCTCCTCCAATCCAGATTTGAGTCCGTTAGATTACAAGATATGGCAACACTTGGAGGAAAAGGCGTGCTCAAAGTCTCATCCCAATTTGGAGTCACTCAAAACATCCTTGATTAAGGCAGCAGCCGATATTGACGTGGACCTCGTTCGTGCTGCCATAGACGACTGGCCGCGCAGATTGAAGGCCTGTATTCAAAATCAAGGAGGTCATTTTGAATAAACTTTATTTTCATAAGAATCTATGTTTTGTTAAGTTCATTTTGGTTTATAAATGGTTACATAATGAATAAACTTGTTTCAATTATTTCATATTAAACATGTGACAGAATTTATGACCAGACTGGGTATAATTCTAGACAAAAACTAAGCCATCCGACTGTACCTATCGGGTAGGGTTGTAAATTGTATTTCATTGAATTTTCGCGTTACAGTGCGTCGACCGTGGCATTGTAAAGTTTTTGTTAAGGGATTAGGTCGCGCAAAACTTCATAAGCAATACCACAGACCAATGAGCTTGCACAGTAAACGTTTTGTATATAAAATTGCTAGAGTCTGTGCGGAAAGAGAATGGGATTTAGATTGGAGGGCGCTGTATTGCTTTTCTACCGTATTTGTAAGGTTTTACCCCTTTTAGACATGATTAAATACAATGAACCGCAAGAAATCACAACAACAAACAAATCCGTATCAATACAAAACTTTGACGTTTTACAGATTGCTGGGTTTGATTGATAAATAAAAATCTTAATGTTAGTTCCGTTTTTCGCCACGCCCATTCTCTTTCCGCACAGACTACTGCGCAGTTGACTTGCCGATGGTCGTTGCTCAAGAAGTTAACCGGTATGTATACTAGGGTAATGTATACAAATACATGTAATGTTTGTACATTTTTCTCGACATATAATTATATAAACAAACATGAGTTAGGTACAAATACTCGTATTCGTCATACAAACATTTGCACTATCGGGATTCGAACTTATAATGCGATTCAAATAAGAATAGGAAAGCCAGTGACCTCCATCTGTCAAATGTCGCTTGAAAAGTACGGTTCGCAAAAAAATCTCAGAACAGTTTTTTAGCACTCTGCTAATTGTAAAATAAAAATCAAACATTTTTAAACAAACAATAACAAATATTGATATATAATATTGGTTGATATTTTTTTTTCATTTATTGAGCTTTGACTATGAATGGTTGATAACCTAAATCGTCAACCAAATGTCACTTAATGTTGCGTTCAGAAACTCGATTTAAAACTTTTGTTTACATAATAGGATGCATGTTCGTATGTGATCTGCATGATTATTCATAACTACTACGGCGGTAATGCAGAGATGAGCGGCATTGAAGAGCTAGATTCTGATTAATGTTTTTTCTCACACAGTCTTAATAAAGAAATATTATTAGAAATCGGTGGATTTTTTTCTGAATCTTAGTAAATTAATGTTATTAAAAAAATATGTTTTTTGTCACTTAATCTAAGTAAATAAGTTTTATTAAACTTTTTTTTGCTCACTCTACCTATTTGGTTTGAATTGACAGCTATGACGTCAAAATATGGCGCCCAGTCGGTACTATTCTTAGTTGAATCGCATTATAGAACCAAATAGTCTTAGAAAAATCATAATAAACATTCACAAAGAATGAAACAAGAAATCACACGTTTGTGAATAATTTAATAAAAAAATTTATAAATAAATAATAATTTCTATCATTATAATAACGTTCGAACACCAAGTCGTATGAAAGCTACAAATATTGATAAAAACAAAGTAATGTTAATATGACTTCATTTATTTTGTAGGTTTAGGCCATAGATAAATGATTGGTCTCTCTACACTCGAGCGAAGCGCGACCAATCATTTATCTATGAATTAGGCCTCAACCAAATACGCTCGTATTTATCGGTCGAAAATAAAGGATTGTGTTATTGCGATAATTCGGCCTACTTCTATCGCGTCGTATTTCCGCAGTAGTATGTAGCTTCGCATCTCTTCTTATACAAAATGTACTAATAAATTCAAATAAAATAACTTAAAAAAAGCCTTTTTTAATGCGCTAAAAAGAATAAAATAAAAATTTCCGTTACTACTTTTACTATGAACTTATTATACGTCATTACACAATTTATATAATATGGAAGATTGTCGTGAGATTTACCTATGAAGTAAAACAAAAGTTGATGAGATAGTTTTTTATTTAATTTACGTTATTTTAAAGATAAGTTTACTAGAAAAAAAATCCACGTGGTCACGTCCGCTGCCTGGTTTGCGTGGATTTTTTTCTAGTAAACTTTTCTTTATATTTAAACATGTAGCAGTTAAATGCTCAATGAATAAACAAAAACAATTACATAATTTTTCTTAAATCTGGTGACAAGCTTTTATATTATTATAAGTTGTGTAATGTGACATTAACAGTTCATAGTAAAAGTTTTAAAGTAAAATTTTATTTTATACTTTATAGCGCATTTAAATAAAAGCTTGTTTTTAAAGTTTTTTTTTACTTTTTATTTATAGATAGACATGATCGAGAAGAACCCCATATTCTCAGCTAATCTTTTCATTTGATACTCTTAAATTGTAGGAAATCATAAAAATCCCTCTCTATCTTTTAAAAACCACGATACTGGATTTAAGTTCACTTTTTGAACGCACACACGTCATTTTATTTTTCCAGTTATTCTCATCAAGTCCTTTCCTTTGACACCCTTAATGTAGGAAACTAGTCCGCCATATTGGATTTAGAATGACGCCACACAACTCACCATGAATTGTCATCCAGCTCAATCCAATGAAGAAAATTGCTTCAAAATAGAGTTGCAAGATTGCACCCGAACAAACACGCGCATACATACATTGCAAGGGGAAAAAACACTTTAAAAAAACTGATATCGCAATGACACATCCGATATTATTGACCGATAACAACTCGCCTATGGGAGGCAGGCATTATTGGTGGAAGACAGAAATCTTTACTAATTAAATCCGACAGTGGCATTCAAAATTATTTAAAAAAACAATATACAAATTATAATTTAAACAACTTACTTATTTATGACACATAGAAACGTAATAATGAGACCATTTACGTTAACTTAAAATAGTGTTATGCAAAGAATTGATTTCACATTGCATAATATTTTTATAATGCGATTCAAATAAGAATAGGAAAGCCAATGACCTCCATCTGTCAAATGTCGCTTGAAAAGTACGGTTTGCAAAAAAACATCTTGGAACACTTTTTTAGCACTCAGCTAATTCTAGAATAAAAACCAAACATTTGTAAACAAACAATTACAAATATTGATAATTAATATTGGTTGATATTTTCTTTTTTAATTTTTTGAGCTTTGGCTATGACTGGTTGATATCCTAAATCGTGAACCAAATGTCACTTTAAATTGCGTTTGTAGGTGTATAATATGTAATGATGCAATAATAATACACACATCAAAAGTGTCTAGGGATCAAGCATTTTTATGCGGATTTCTTGAGATTGAGATGTGGCTTTGTAATAAATTTATGATTTTATAAATTTATATGGATCCTTTTTGGTGCATTTCATAATTTGAATCAGGAACTATGAATCAAATTCGAGTAAAAGATGAAAATCAGCTGTCAATATTTTCCCTATAAAAACATACAACGCATTGAAGACATTATTAGTGCTACTGTTTCCCTACTACTGATTAAAACCAACGTTATTATGGAGCGGCGACGTCATTTAAGCAGGGAAGAAATGCTCAGAGCCGTGGGAATGATAGAAGCTGGTTCCCGGCAACGTACTGTGGCTTTAGCTCTGAATACAAGTCAGAGTGTTATCAGTCGACTTTGGACACGATACCGAAGCACTGGTACCGTGGCTGAGCGCCATGGAGGACGGTATCGCTGCACCACACGGAGACAAGACCGATACATTCAAATCATAACTCGAAGAGCTCCAACAATAACCGCCATGATGTTAGCCGTGAGGCTTCATCACTCTTTAGGGAACTTAATTAGCGACCAAACAGTCAGAAACCGCTTGCATGAAGTGAACCTTCATTCCCGAAGACCGCTACGGGTACCACCTATAGCAATGCACAATCGTAGGATTCGATATCAATGGCGTTTCGTGTGCTTTTCTGATGAGTCTCGTTTTGGTATGAGACCGGATACAAGACGTACACTGAAGAACCCCTGGACGCCAACAGCGATTAAAATCCTGCCAGGAAGTCCATCCTTATAGTGGTGGAACCATCATGGTATGGGCGGGTATTTGGATCGGCGGAAGAACTGAGTTGATTTGGATCAGAGGCAACCTCAACGCTCAAATTTATGCTGAGACGATTGTATCAGACGTCATCGTTCCTCTACAAGTGCAAATCGGTCCCTTATTTCAGTTAATGCATGATAATGCACGACCGCACACCTCAAGAGTTGTAAGACAGACTCTCGCCGCAGCTAACATCAATGTCCTGCCCTGGCCTGCTCAGTCGCCAGACTTGAACCCGATTGAGCATGCATGGGATATGCTACAGAGAAGAGCTCTGCCGAATATGGAGGGTATCCAGTCGCAAGAAGACCTTTTTTTGTTGTTGCAACGAACATGGGCGGCCATTCCACAGCGTGATTTGGATGAACTCATTTTGAGTATGCCAAACCGATGTTCTTGTGTTGTTAGTGTTCGCGGTAGAAATACGGATTATTAATTGTTTAAGTTACCCAATAAAATTTTAGAGAAAACTGTTATTTCAGTCTTTTTTTCGAACTTTTGTGTTAGTGGTTCAAATGTCAAAAATCCCTTTATTAGGAAAATGGCAAATTTCTTTATTAATGCAAAGGTGACTTGGTTTATCGTTACTGTGACAAACGAAAACACTTTATTTGATGAATCCTTAAAGAAAATTTTAATTAATATCAATCAGGAGAAAAGTTATTGCAAAAATATATGTTGATCCCTAGACACTTTTGATGTGTGTATTAATAATAAAATTCCGCAAACTGACAAATTATAGAGGTCACGATATATTAAGTTGGCATGTTATATTACGCAATTATAGTTTACTTTTAATTTACATTATACTAATAAAAACACTCTCTGTTCAACCTTGTTTCAAATACCATCTCCGAACTTAACTTCGTCACCTGGTAATCACCACATTGGTGACCCCGACGTGATCTGAACACGCAACCTTCTTGTAAACTCGATTTAAAACTTTCGTTTACATTAAGATTCATGTATGTGACCTAGTAATAGTGCATGATTATTCATAACTACTCCGGCGGTAATACAGAGATGAGCGGAATAGAAGAGCTAGATTCTAATTAATGGCTTTTCTCACACAGTCTTAACAAATAAATATTATTAAAAATCGGTTGTTTATTTTCCTTAGTAAATAAATTTTATTAAAAATCTGACGTTTTTTCTCACTTAATCTTAGCAAATATGTTTTATTACATAAAACTTTTTTTGCTCACTCTACCTGTTTGGATAGCTATGGCGTCACAATATGGCGCCCAGTCGGTCTTATTCTTAGTTGAATCGCATTATAACATAAGACATTTCATGGAAGCGGCTTAATTAAAGTCAAAATATAAATTATTGTAACGATTTTTTTATGAAAAAGACCCATACGCAGTGATCTTAGATTAAAACAAATAGGGAAGATGCGGAACTCGCGTCTCAAAAGTGAACCGCTTAAAAAAAAGTCTTTTATAACTTTTTTGACGTTTTGCATAATTTTCAGGCTGCATCGGCAGAATTATGATTTTTATTTACTTTTGTCGAGCTAAATTCAAAAGACTTTTATTCAACGTTTGGATACTTTATCGAAAGATTATTATAATTTTACTGTCTATGTATGAATTTATTAGCAAATTTAATTAATAAACTACTGTATATAATTCTAATGTTTATTTATTTGTCCCTAACTACCGTAAACTACCACCAGTTCCAAAACTGAGAGACCTTTCCTAGAAGAACTGGCGAAACGAACTCAAGAGAGGTTTTTGTCTCTTTCTTACATGATTAAGAAGACGAAACGTCAAAAATATTATAAAAAGACAGATTTTAAAACCGTTTAAGTGTGTTTTATTTAAACCGAATAGCATAGGAGTCCAAAATGTCATTGTCAAATTTTGTATGAAAACACGAACAGCAGCACCACAACGACGACGATAAGTACCGTAAAACGTGGATACATGGGACAACTTGGTTACTTGGGACAATCATGGGACAGTTTAGAAATTAGTCTGGCAACACCAAATTCTATAGTTTATGGTTAGTTGACAGTGACTTCTGTCTTCGTAAGGTTACAACGGTTTTTAACATACGTGAAAATAATTAACTTGTGTGTACGAAAGGCTAGTTTCAAGCGTTTCTTTGAAGTATCAGAGAAATTGGTGTGTGTTTATGCTGTAAACTTCTGCAGGTAAGTTGTAAACTGTACAAACTCGTGAAAATCTTTTTTGCTGGTGAAGTTGCGTAGTTTAAGGAGTGTCTAGTTTTTGTTTTTTCCAAAGATGGCAGTACACATTTTGTGTACTACGATTAATTTACTTTGTTGGCACCGTGTTTTGGGGTTACTTGGGACCACGTCCCAACTTACTCTAGACATTAGGTTACGCCATGGTTAGTGTCCCAAGTTTACCTAATAATTTATTTTGTTTTAGAAAAATAAATATGCCCCGAAAACACCAGAAGGCCCAGGGTTCCAGGCCATATGCTAACTGGTCTGAACAAACTTTACAAAATGCTTTAGCAAACATACGAGCAGGAACAATTTCGTACAGAGATGCGCAAGATAAATATAATATCCCTAAATCGACCTTGCAAAGAAAAATAAATGACAAGCATATGAAAAAAGTTGGTAGACCTACGGAATTAGATCCTGAGGAGGAAATCAAGCTGGTTGAAGGATTGATTGTATTGGCCGATTGGGGGTATCCTGTCTCACAACTCGAGCTAAGACTGTTAGTGAAATCATACTTGGATTCTATAGGTAGGCATTTATTTTGTATAGAGCAATAGTATATATATATAGTTTTTTTTTTATTATAACCTTTTTATTTATTTTCATGCGTTTTTTTACAGGAACGGTGAACCTAAGATTTAAAGAAAATATGCCTGGTGAAGAATGGTGTTTCTCATTTTTAGAAAGACATAAGAATCGTCTCACTACAAGGTTATGCTCGAACATCAAGAGGGCCCGATCCGAGCTCTCAAGAGAACAATTGACAGAATATTTTGTTAATCTCGAAGAATCTCTCATTGGCGTTACCCCTGAGAATATCATCAACTTTGATGAAACAAATATGTCTGATGATCCGGGGAAAAAAAAAGTTCTTATAAAACGGGGAAGCAAACGGGCAGATAGAATTATGGACTTTTCAAAAAGTAGCACCTCTGTTATGTTTGCGGGCACAGCAACTGGTGTGCTATTACCCCTATATGTAGTCTATAAGGCAGAGCATATGCACACAACATGGACACAAGGTGGACGGCCAGGCTCACGGTACAATAGGTCACGTTCAGGATGGTTTGACAGTGTCCTTTTTGAAGATTTTTTTGAGACAGTAATTATTAAATATTTTGAAGACATTGAAAAAGAAAAAGGAGAAAAATGCCTAAAATTAATAATAGGGGATAATTTAAGCTCACATGTATCATTGAGTGTTATCAAAAAATGTAAGGAACATGGCATAAGATTTGTCTTTATGCCCCCCAATGCAACAGCCTTGTGCCAACCTCTGGATGTCGCATTTTTCAGAGCTCTAAAGCAATCCTGGAGGAATAAGTTGACGGAATGGAAGCTGCAAAATAGAGGTGTTGTACCAAAGGATATCTTCCCACGTCTTTTAAAGAATACTTTGATAAATATGGGAGACAACATCAGAACCAACATTATCGCTGGATTTAAAGCAGCTGGTATTTATCCATGTGACCGAAATGCGGAATTAAAAAGATTACCGGAAGATCCCCGACAAAACGGTTCATCTGATGCACATTGGTCTGATGTGTTTTTGGACTACTTAAAAAAAGGGAGAGAAAAACCATCAATCCAAAGAAAAAAAAGGACGAGAATAAATGTTGCACCAGGAAAAAGTGTAACTGAGAGTGATTTTGACATGCCATCAACTTCTAATCAAGTGCTGTCAAATTCTCAAGTGGCATTACCTTGCAATGAAATAGAACTTGTATGTTATGGAAGTGACAATGAAAGTACTACTTCATCTGAGACTGCTGTTGCTGGAGATGACCCTCTTACAATGGAAATAGAAGGGGATATTTATTTTGACACAGAAAATAACAATCAAAGTGACCATGGTGAAAATGATCAAACTGTGAGTTTCCAATCCATAGAAGAAGGTAGTAGGCCAGAGGAGAGACAAATGATGGATACCAATTCAGTGGAAATTAGTTATGAAGTTTTACGTGAAAATGAGAATTTCCAACATAACAGAAAGGTATTGGAAAAACCGCAAAAACTTAAAGATGAGGAAAACAAAGAAAATTCTATTAGGTCTGAACTACAAAGAAATGTAATTTGTAAAGTTGATGACTTTGTTCTTGTTAATCTTGTTTACAACGAGAATACAAAAAAACCAGTTAGGAAATATTTTGTTGCAAAAATTCTTTCCATACAACCCGATGGGATTTTATGCAAATTTTTAAGGAAGAGTCAGAAAACAGACTATACTTTCATTTATCCTCCAATAGATGATGAAATGATTATCCAAAGCAAAGATGTAGACAGAATTTAACTTTTAAAATTTTATGTAGTGTCCCATGTTACAATGTTTTGTCTTTGATTTCTGTGATGTTGTCCCAAGTTAAATTTTAACGTATTTGGAAAAAAATGATTTTTCTTCAGTTTTGACTGTTTACAACACTATTAATTATGTTTAACTATTAGTTATAAGTATAATGAATAATTTATGTGTAATTTGCTAGGTTAGCATTACTTTGTCAATAAATATTCTACTTCATTGGATTTTCTTGTTTATTTTCCAAAATACAAGTTGTACATCAATCAAAAATGTTTCTCCAGATTTTTTTAAATTTTTTTTTTGTCCCATGTTATGCGTGTAACCATCTAACTTGAGAAGATTAAGAGATATTGTAATTGTCTCAAATTACCCCGTATGAGTGTCTAACTTGGGACAGACACATAAAAAAAAATATAAAATTGCATATTATATTTCTTAATAATATTGTTACTTGCAACAATTCTACGATGCATGACTCGAAGCTTTCTCTAGTTGAAGTGACATAATATAATTAGTAAAAGAAACTAAAGACGGTTAAAAGTTAATACTGTCCCAAGTATCCACGTTTTACGGTACCGATTTTTTTATTTTAGTTCTCGCAACGTCTGTTGTGGTGCTGCTGTTCGTGTTTCCATACAAAATTTGACAATGACATTTCGGACTCGCAAAATATTCGAATTGGATATTGGTTCGTGCTAGGGGTACAGTAGATAGTTTTGTTGTACGAAAAATATATGTGTACGTTGAAAGTTCATAATTAGATTATTAAACAGTTCGAAAAGTCAATAGTAATGGTACTCAATTGACATTAAATTCATATCAATGTAACCAGTATGTAGTACTAGCAAAAAACAAGATCCTACACTTCCTTATTAAGATTACAATGGTTCGACAGCTCAATTGGCCTTTGCATTCACTTACTTGATAACCTTCTTCTTTCCCCGTTTGGCGGGCACCATAATTTTGTTCTTCCATTCCTCCGTACCCACCGGATCTTCGACCCTGATAATCTGTCCTGTTTCTGGGTTTATTGGGAACACTCCTTCCGGAGTGATTTTCTTTTTCGATGTGTCCATACCGTGGCGTCGTTTCATATGCTTGTTGTAATTAGACCAGTTAGTAAACTCCATTCCGCAGTGATTGCAAGAGTAAGGCTTCGCTCCCGTGTGTTGTCTCTCGTGGTTCTTCAGTATTTGTTTGAAACGGAACGCTTTGTTGCAATACTGACATACGTAAGGCATCGAATCGGTGTGGACTATCTTGTGAGCGTTCAATTGGTATTGTAAACGGAAACAACGTCCGCACTGCTCACAAGAGAATGGTTTAATACCAGAATGCATCTCAACGTGTCTCCTCAACATGTTGGGGAACAAAAAAGACTTGTTACAAATCCTACATAGGTGTGGCCTCACTTTATCATGGGACATGATGTGGGAAGTCAACGTACCCTTGTTGTAAAACATTTTGCCACAACGGTCACAGGTATAATTGCGTTTTCTGTCCTCGGTGTGTAACTTCATGTGATCCCTCAAGCTGTTCGGATTTTTGTAGACCTTTTTGCATAACGGACAAGTCAACTCTTCTATGGTGATCGGCGTGCCTGGCTTTCTCCTCGGTCTTCTTTTACATTTACTAATATTGTACTCTTGTAAATGGAATTTGAGGCCCTCTTCATTCTTTAGTATTTCACCACACAACGGGCAAGGCATTAGCGGTTTCTGGTAATGTTGCTTCACATGAACACTAAGCGACTCAGTTTTATCTATGTGTTCGTGGCAATAGTAACAGTAATTCCTGCAAAACATAAAAAATCACAATTATAAATATATTCACTATATGAACTGGACTGATGCTTCCAGTCCACTTTATTATTATTATTAAACTAGCAAACCAGTGAACCAAATGTTCACCAAAACCTGATTTCTCGAAAACCGGAAGTGCTACGTTACTCAAATCCAGTTTATAGTCTTATCAGACTATTCTTAACTTATAACTTAAATATTCTCTTTATCTATCTCTTACGGTTTGGCCGCTGAAACAGCACCACAGACAGACGGACGGACTTGTCTAATAGATAAGAGATATTTATTTCAGATAATTATTAATCATCCATAATGTTAGTAACAATATACTTAAAGCTATATTATAGGTAAGACCCCTTAACTTTAACTTAGACCTCGCCTTTGGATGTTAATAATGTCACATGTGTTTTGTTTGTCTGAAGAGAGAGATAGAAGGCCTCTGTTTAGGTTGTTTCACTGATTTCTTTTACCATAAATCGTTTTGCTAGTCCATGCTTCCGGAATTTACATGAAGATCTCGTTTTAGCAGGAGTTTGCCATAAAATGGTGAGAACCTTCGAAATTTCTTTTGTTTTATACATTTTCTTTTGTTTTTGTTATTAGAAAGTAGTTGATAGCAATGTCACTTAATTTACTGTTATTTTTAAGTAACCAGTGCTGGCAACACTAGCTCTTTCTCTGTCTTCGGCGTTCAATGAATAAAGCAGCATTCCAATTTAGTAAAACAGTTTTTTTCATTTTATTTTATTTACTACAGTTTTGTTCCATGTGCTAATCTGCGGACTGTTTATTATCAGCTGTAGGCTTTTTTTATACTTTAGAAAATTTTATATTGATCCATGCAATAAACTTTTGTCATTACAAGGAAAGGCTTCCATACATACATTCAACTCAACACATAACAAAGATGCAGCGGAGACAGTAAGTGCATGGAAATTTATTCCAATAAGGACAATCTAGTAAGAGAAAATTATTCCACTTTGTAAAATACAGGTAAAGATTATAAAAGCATAATTGGACTTAGCTTCTAAATAGAAGAAAATCATTGGCAAATAGGTGGAAATTTCAATATATAGACAACCCACAGTGAGTTTGGATTTTACTTCAACGCCCCTTGCGATTAACAGTTCAATGCTCTTCCGAAAAGTCTATTGTGGTAGGTCTGGCCCCCGAGTATTTTTTTTATTTCAATTCGACCTTTCCATATTGCTATAAAACAATTTTTATCTTTCCCTTTATTTTTTTATATGACACGGTCTACCTATAATATAGCTGTAAGTGTATTGTTACTAAAATATTATATTATTAGGTTGTATAATATTTTTCAATAACTTGAAAACTTTTTTGAAGTGCAGTACAGATTATTACTTAAGGAAGTACAATTTGTACTACTTAAGGAAGTACAATCACTCTCAGGGTTTCATTGATTATGTTAAAAGGTACTCAAAAACATTCAAAAGTGTATGTGCAACAGCCAAATCCAATTACATAAAAAATAAAATCATAAAATCTAATAATAAAATTAAAACAACATGGAATGTTATTAATAGAGAAACTGGTAAAGAAAGAACCCTCGATGATGGGATCGCACTTAAAGTAGATAATATTCAAATTAAAACAAAAGAACAGATTGCCAATACTTTTAATGAATATTTCGTTAATATACCATTAATTACTACTTCTAATTTGAATTCGACGCCAGCGGGTGCTAAGAGTTTGCTAGAGACGTGTGTGCCTCGGTGTAATAACCTGTTTACGTTTAAACATGTTGATTTTATGGATATTATAAAATGCTTTAACTCACTTAAAAAGAAAAATACGTGTGATTTGTTTGGAATGTCTATTAAAATAACTAAAAGTATAATAACAGTTATCGCTCCTTATCTTGCAGATATATTCAATAAGTGTATTGATCAAGGTGATTTTCCAGACCTTATGAAATATAGTAAAGTTATCCCTCTCTTCAAAAACGGCATAAGAGATGATCCCGGTAATTACAGACCTATATCAATATTACCGGTATTAAGTAAAATTTTCGAAAAAAATATTTTAGATCAATTATTATCGCATGTCAGTTTGAACAAACTGTTACATAATAATCAATTTGGCTTTACTAGGGGTAGATAAACAACGGATGCGGGTGTTGCACTTATGAGACATATAATGGAAGCCTGGGAAAAGTCGCAGAATGTTCTTGGGGTATTCTGTGACTTATCCAAGGCGTTTGACTGCGTTGAGCACCAGACGCTGGTGTTAAAATTAAATCACTATGGAATCAAAGGCGCAGCCCAAAACTTGCTACTATCGTATCTCAGTTCCAGAGTTCAAACTGTAGAGGTAAATGGTGTTAAGTCATCTGGATCTTATGTGAAAATGGGCGTTCCCCAGGGATCGATTTTAGGTCCGTTTCTATTTTTATTGTACATAAACGAATTGGCATTTTTTGTGGAAAAATTGTGTGAGATCGTATTGTTTGCTAATGATACTTCTTTATTATTTAAGGTTGACCGATACAAGAATAACTTTAACGATGTAAATAATGCTCTCTCACAAGTATTGCACTGGTTTAATGTAAATAACTTAAAATTAAATGCAAATAAAACCAAATGCATTAAATTCACTTTACCTGTTAGAAGCGAAACCATTAGAATTAAATTAAACAATGAAAACCTAGATTTAGTTGAGTCAACGATATTCTTAGGTATAACCATTGACTCGAAATTGCAATGGTATCCTCATATTTCTCTGCTAGCTGGTAAACTTAGTTCAGCAGCCTATGCCATACGTAAAATAAGACAACTTACTGATGTAGCTACTGCTAGAACTGTATACTTTAGTTACTTTCATAGTATTGTATCCTATGGTATTATTCTCTGGGGATCAGCAGCCGATATTGAAACTATATTTATCTTGCAAAAAAGAGCTATAAGGGCTATTTATCAACTTAGTTCTAGAACATCTCTTAGAGAAAAATTTAAAGAAATCGGGATTTTGACTGTTGCTTCTCAATTCATTTATAATTGCATACTTTTTGTTCGAAGCAATATTAACTATTATCTAAAACACAGTGATATACATTCTTTTAATACAAGGAATAAAAATAAACTCAAGATACCAAATTACAGGTTACAGAAGGTTCATAAATCATTTATGGGTCAAGGTATACATTTCTATAATAAGATTCCTATTGATATCCTTGATTTGCCTCCTCATAAATTTAAAATACACATTAAGAATTGTTTACTTAAGAAAGGATATTATACTGTCAATCAATATTTAAATGATAAAACGGCCTGGTTGTAATTTTACCTGTAGATAATTTTTCAAAAGTTATATTAAAACTAAGGCTCCCAGCCTTAGAAAGAGTTTTGAAGAGAACCTTGCACTTACTCCCTTTCATATACTTGTTCATTTTGTTTTGAAAATTGTTTCTTGCTATTTTGGGACTTATCTTTGCACTTATTGTTAGTAAATTCATTGATTGTTAAATATTTGACATTATGTGATGGAAGTTGACCTCAGCACATGTTTGCAAGTTTGATGTCAACTTTCAATTGGATGACACTGTATGAAATAAAACAGGGAGAAAAAAGCAGCCCTTGCTGAGTTTCTTGCCGGTTCTTCTCAGTACAAGGTCTCCCGCCGTAGTTTTGCGAACCGATGGCGTAGCTTTTCGACATTCACAAGTGCTTGTAACAGCCTAGACTGAATAAACGATATTGAATTTTGAAATTTTATTCTTTTTATTTTTTTAATTGTCAAATTACTATGGAGTTTGATAGTAAGACGCGGTAAAAAACGTGATATAATGTACATTGTGCTCATGCTACGGGGACTGGAATTGAAAAGATCTAGCAGTATTTAACTGCTCCAAACAAAATATAGAAAAATTGTAAAGGTCATAGTTAAATTCAGTAGAGACCATTTAGTGGAAAAATATTGTATCCCATCTGCAATAAAAACCTGCATAACTTGATATCATACCTCAAACTCTTTCTGTGTTTTCGGACATGCTTCATAAACGATGAAAAACTATTCTTCTTCACATCCTGACAGTCGATACAGACGAAAGGGGAACACTTTCCATGTACAGCTTTCGAATGCGACCTCAATGTGTCCATATCCAAAAACTCAATGTTACAAAATGCACAAACCCACGGGTAATCCTGCCATGTTTTCACATCTTTCTTCCTCATTTCTGAGAAATCTTTAGCGTATAGCACTATGTTTGAAGGCACATTCGAAATAGCAGCTTCTATAATATCATTTACATCTAAATTCTCAGAGTAATCGTCCACGGGACTACATCCTTTACTTAAACCTTCAAGTATGGTATCTGATATCTCCTCTTTCGGTTCTTTCTTAATATCTAAAGGAAAAGAAGGTACATTATCATCCAATTGCACATTTTTATTTTTGTTACAAGGCCATTGTTTCACCGATGATTGATCTGCCCCGCTCCGAGTGCTTAAAGAGGTGTCGTGAACAATGTAATCATCGAAACTACAAGTCCTTTCATCTTCAGATGTACTCTGCTTATGGCATTCGTTCAACGAGAAAAGACTGAATAACACATCCTGTGACCTTTTCACACGATCGAGAAACTCGTAAGCTTTGTTTAGGGAATCATAGCAAACGAAACAAACTGTTTTCGGCAGCAAACTATCATCGTTAACGTTGACATACAAAGCGTTTACGAACGCGAGTTTCAATATAATGTCGTTGCATTTCTCGCCGTCATTTTGCAAATTTAACACTTTGTCTGCACCCTTAGGCTCTGCACAAAATCGACAGTACGTGTTTTCAATATTCTCCATTATTTTTATATACAAACTGGAATTGATTATAATAATATTACAAAGTGCATCGCTACAGCAAAAAAGGACTATGACGAAATTAAAAAATAAATTGACATATAATTATAAGTCTATGGTCAAATTCCACTGGTGATGTGCAAGAACAAGGACCGTTACCTTTATAGTCGATCGATTTCAGAAAACATTAATGCCAATGGCATGGCATTTTGTGCCAAAGTTGTATACTTTTTTAATTTTTTTATCTGTGTTTCATAATTGGGTAACGTAGTCTGGCAATATTTGTCATCAGCAGCTAGCTGTCAATGTCAAATACGTAGGTTTGTCATCAAAAGGGTTTCTATATCAATAAATATTAATCATTAAATAACTTCTTTCCACGATTCACTAAAAATAAGGCAAAAGTAGTTTTATGTAGCAAATAATTTTGGCTTTATTTTGAGACCAAATTCAACTGTATACAAGTTTAGCATTTTTTCTATGAAAAGTGCCGGGTCTCCTTTCATGGTCCTTTACATCGGCCTAAAATTATGCTTCTATTTAGGACTATATCAGGAAGGAATCTCAATGGGTACCTCACTAATTCCTAGTTTAAGGGTACAATTAACACTTTTTTTGTGAAGTGAAACTACTTTAGCATCGTTGTGACTGCAGTTGAGACTCTATGAAACGGAATTTGAGTATTTGACACAAAGGTATCCGTAATTTTATCAGTTACTTTAAGAGACAGATGGAAGTTATGTATTTATAAATTATGCCAAAAAAAGGTACAATGATAAATTACAGCCAAAGTGAAGGTACGGAACCTAAGTCCAACCCTTTACAGATAATATTATTAATTATGAAAAGACAACTTGTCTGCCTATTGCGGATTTTTTAAATTGTTGATAGCAACACAAACAGAGTGTATATCAGTCGGAGTTTTTGACGGATTTCATCGAGTGCGGTTGGTGTCATATTTTAATTATTCTTAAATTCATTCATAGTGGATATTGTGAAATAAAATTGGTTTGATTTTGTGTTACAACCATCTGCGCAACTGAAAAATTGTGGAATCTTTAAAATATACGCTATTACGATCCTTTTCCTTTCCTTTATTCCTTCCTTCCTTCCTTTATTGTAGTGTTGACTACCTTACAGAAGCTTATCGAAAAAACCAACTTGACACATTTCGTGCCAAACACTCCAAGAAACATTAGAATGCGTCACACCGACATTGTAATGTAAAAATGAAAAAGAAGATTAAGATTTGTATTAATGTATACGACTGAAGGACTTGTATCCATAGAGGTATAAGAATAGTGTAGGGGAGATATGTATTCTACTACTAGTGGAAGTGTCCGTCTAGTAGAAAGAGAAAGAAGATAAGGGACGGCTAGCTATCTCTCTCTTGTGACGCTGCGCAGTCGTGTGATTGGTCGGTATTCATCCGTAGGTTTTTCATCTAATGCGCATTCGCGATTAGAGAGAGAAAGGCTAGTCATCTCGCATCTTCTTTCTCTTTCTACTAGACGGACACTTTTAGAGCCGCCTTCCCCATTATATTCTTATACCTCTATGCTTGTATCATGGTCATGAATAATAATAAAAAAAAAGTTCCTTTGCCCGTCCCAACAGGGACAAATTGACTAAAAAAATAAAAAAAAAGAGAGTTTTTGGCGGGATTTAATCGAGTGTGGTTGGCGTCTTATATTAATTATTCTTAAATTCGTTCATAGTGGATATTGTGAAATAAAATTGGTGTGATTTTGTGTTACAACTGTCTGCGTAACTGAAGAATTAGTAGAATCGTCAAAATATACGCTATTCCGGTCAAGTGGACGTGAGAATTTTATTGTAGTATTGACTACAGCCAGCTCGATACATTTCGTGCCAAACACTTCAAGAAACATTAGAATGCGTCACACCGACATTCTAATTTAAAAAGAAAAACAGGATAATTTAATTTAAGACTAGGCTGTATGGGCGTTGTTCTCCTTGCCTTCCCTGAAAAGGGAGAACTTAACCAAAAAAATAAAATAAAAAAAAGTACTTCAGTCATCAGTAGTCTGTGGTGTATAAACATTCAGATTTCCGAGTAGAGATTAAATTGATGAAAACCATTAAACAATTTCGTATTTTGTCCTCCAAATAATGGATGAATTGTATTGCACTTACTGTAGATTGTGCGCAGAACCAAAACAGGCAGACCAATTGTGTGATATACAAGAGAACTTCCACAAAATAGCGTTAAAACTAAATCGAATTAATGCCATTTCGAATTTCGTCGAAGGTGCACTCCCCAAAACTATTTGTTTCAAATGTATGAGTGCATTGAATGAAGCGTTCCAATTTGTTATTGCAGTCGAAAAGGCACAGATTCTGCTCGAACATAAAGTTAACGAGGGACAAGTAAAGGCAGAATGCGGCAGCGACAATGAGACATGTTCCGATGTACGGGTGGATGTCAAATCTGAAATGGTCGTTGACATTAAACAAGAGAGCTACCATAGCGATGAACAGCCGAACTGTGATACTGAGTTTGTAGCAGCAGAACCAACGACAACAAAACCTAATAAAGAAAAACCATCAAAAATACAGAGAGCGAAGAAACAAAATAAAAAATTAACAGTAAAGCTGAAACATAAAAGTGATCATAAGTCTGAAAAGCAAAAGTCGACTTGGAAGGACTACCCTTGGACATGTTCAGACTGCGGGACAGTGTTTCCGTCTCAGTGCGAGCTCACAGAGCATTCCATGCAAGTGCACAACATTTGTAACCCATACCGTTGTACCGATTGCAACATGCGTAAGGGTAATCTTAATAAATTTATGAAGCATGTAAGGCAGCACAGAAAATTTTTAAGGTTTTCTTGTTATAAGTGCTTTAAAGAATTTTCAGGTCCTCATAAGACATACAAGCATAAGTGTTATGGTGGAACTGATCACGTTTGTAAGGGCTGTAATGGAACCTTTCAAACTGAAGAAGATCTTAGCAAACACTTCTCTGTTTTCTTTAGGGATCTCAGAATTTCTCAGCCCAACGCAAGCACCGATTTAGATAAAGTGGACCTCGATAACATGAGCTGTAAGATTTGTGATAAAGTCTGTAGAAGTAGATGGTTTCTATTTGATCATGTGTCCAGGCATTCGGAACGCACCAGCAGTCATATCTGTGAGACCTGCGGTAAATCATTCTACAATATATACAGTCTAAGGAATCATGTTATTGCACACACTGATGCAAGACCGTTCGAATGTGATGTCTGCAAACAAAGGTTCAAAACTCGCAGTCAGATAATAAACCATGTGAAAGGCCATGATTCATTTAAGCAGTATGCTTGTGAACAATGCGGTCGTCGCTTCAAACTCAAACAGCAATTGAATTCACATAGTATTATACATACAGATTTAATGCCACATGTATGCTCCTATTGTAATAAAGCATTCCGCTTTAAGAATTTAATGATACAACATGTTCGACTGCATACAGGTGTCAAGCCATACTCATGTGACCCGTGTGGCAGGGATTTTACAAATTGGTCCAACTACAACAAGCATATGAAGAGACGACACAATATGAATATGTCGAAAAGGAAACCGACAGAGGTTCTTCCAAACTCAAAATTAGTGACAACGTAAAAATTTTCTGATTTAGAATGAAAAATAAGCAAAATGAGATAAACACTTACGAGATGTTGTGTTTGTGATGTTTTATTTATTTAAAGAATTTATAATAGTATTGTTATGTGCTTATGATATTTTAAAAAACCTTTTGTGATATTCTTCTAAGCTAAACAATATGTTAGTACTGTAGTTCTTATGCTATCCACTATATACTTCTATGTATTCTTAAACCTGATAAAATATAATAAATACTTATATTCCTGACAAAAAAACCAGCAGGGATTCCTATAGTTTGATTAGCTTTAACAGAACGAATAATAAAATTAAAAGCTATCTTAACTACAAACTTGCTGTTGTTTAATATGTGCATAGTTATTTTCACGTCAAATACATACCTGTTCTATTCTTTTAAATAGCAATTATTTATAAATGCGATTCAACTAAGAACAGGACCGACTGGGCGCCATATTTTGACGTCATAGCTGTCAATTCAAACCAAATAGAGTGAGCAAAAAAAAGTTTCTATTTAATAAAACTTATTTACTAAGATTAAGTGAGGAAAAACATAAGATTTTTTAATAAATTTATTTACTATGATTGAGAAAAAAAACAATCGATTTTCTTAATATTTCTTTATTAAGACTGTGTGAGAAAAAACGTTAATCAGACTAGCTCTTCAATTCCGTTCATCTATGCATTACCGCCGTAGTTATGAGTAATCATGCAGGTTACATACGAACATGCATCCTTTAAATAAACGTAAGTTTTAAATCGAGTTTCTGAACGCAACATTTGGTTATCAACCATTCATAGCCAAAGGTCAATAAATGAAAAAAATATCAACCAATATTAATTATCAATATTTGTTATTGTTTGTTTAAAAAATGTTTGGTTTTTATTCTAGAATTAGCTGAGTGCTAAAAAAGTGTTCCGAGATTTTTTTGCAAACCGTACTTTTCAAGCGACATTTGACAGATGGAGGTCATTGGCTTTCCTATTCTTATTTGAATCGCAATACAGATGCCAATGTCGACAACTCTGCCAATAGCAGAAGTGACGACCAGGCGTGTGCTTGGTCAATTTGTTAAAAACCTTTGATAGAAATCCATAGTTTATCCAGCGATGAGTGAATGTGTAATATTTGTCAAATGGCGAACTTTTCAAGGACGATCGGAGATTCGCTACTGTCACAGAATGTATTCACTACGCGAACTACTGTTCAAGTAAAGGTCAATCTCATGTGTATACTAGCTCAGAGACGACGTGCATCGATGCGAATTTCAGAAATAGTAATATAGCACCCTTATCTCCGAAAATGCGCTAGAAGAATTGACCATTTACTACCGAACATTTAGATAAAGAATAATCCAGTCGACTACTTGATAGAGGGCATCAAAAGCTTCAATTAGCACTTTGCTTTTCCTCCATATTTAAGGGTTCCGAAGTCCTGACAAGGAAGTTTCGTCATGTTCCTCTGTCTGTACGTCCCCGGTTTTGATTGGAGACTGTTGGCACCTTAGATTAAAACAAAAAGGGTAGATACGGTACGCTCATACTTGCATCAAACAAAAACTGATCCCACGGCAGCGTGAACGGGACGGCGAGATCCGCGTCACTGCATTACCGACCCCAACGAAACAGCACGTTAAGTTTCAACGGCAGCGCGAACGAGACGGCGAGAACCGCGTCACTGCACTACCGACCAATCACGCGACCAGTACTCGACGTCACTACCGAATAAGATTCAAAACAAACAGTAATTTTTATGAAAAAATATATTTTATAGTACTTACGAATGAAAAGTGATGCTGTGGGTTTTATATTTAGTTCTTGAGCAATTTGAGCACTTTTTAAAAACACACATTGTTTTATCATATAAACACAAAAAAAATATTAGCAATATTTCTTTTTGACGTTCACATGTACGTCGTTTGCATGTCAAGTTGTGACTAAAGCGATTAGGGTCGTGGACCACAATTCATGCGGATCACTTTTGTGAGGCTAGTGCCGTATCTACCCTTTTTGTTTTAATCTAAGGTTGGCACTAGTAGAGAGCTGTAGTTTTGTGGAGATATTTGCCCTGAAATCGCCAAATTAAGATTTTTTTTAATATGCAATTGCAACGCCCCTTTGCAAATATTAAAACAAAAAAAAAACATTTGAAGGAGAACCAATTTTTTTTTTTTCAAATAAAGTTAAAACCTGCAATCGGGTACATTAAAACACCATATGCTGACATATATGCATTATATAAGCATAGGCTAATTTTTCAAACTAATAAGTCGACAGTCAGATCCGGACAAATATAAGGTGTCGACCAATTCTTTTCAGTCATTTAAGAGGTTCTAGATTCAAAAAATCCTAAACAAATCCATGTATTCTTGACTGAAGATAAATTAAAAAATATATATTTTTAACGGTGGTCGACTCAGGGTAGCAAATAAATAGAGCCGAATTGATTGTCGAATATATATATATATATATTTAAATATTGTCGCATGTGACGCTCGTAGCGTTTCAGCCTAGGCCGAGTTTCCGTCCAACTTTCATGCTTATCGTTGACCGCATCCCTCACCTGTCCCTGTAGCATTGTGCGTAGCATGAGCACCACAATTCACTTTAAATCGCGTCTCACTGCCAAATTCCATAGAAAGGTAGTTGAGCGGGATAAAACCGAATTATATTGAAATATCGCAGTGTTCATGCTAGTGGCTGGAGCAGTAACTTAAACCAACATACAATAAACCGATGTTAAAGGATGATTCAAGAGATTATGCGAAATCTGATACCTACCCGCTCCAATAGTGATGTATGATATATCGCTGGAAATGTATTAATAACATCTAGACAGAACAAGAATTAGTATGGCGCCTGTCTTGACTCATTGTCCTATTCATTTACCATTCTAATAAAATTAATCAAAATAAAATGAAACAATGCGGATGTTCTGTCAAAAAAATAAAAAAACAATAACTAATAAAATAAAATATTAAGTTTTCCTTTGTTCATTATTATTACCATTTATTATAGTTATCTTGAAATAATTACAAAGTAGATGAAAAAACACAACAGACACAGCTTATTACGTACTTAAGATTACAAAATGAAATGATTAATGATCTATAGGTAATAACATCTTCATCTACTAACACATCAATAAAGAATAACGCAGGGGCTACAAATCCCTCATGTCCAGGGCCTAATTAACCCACAGGCTAATAAGGCTGGAACCTAGGGCGCAAGCACCAAACGGTTGGCGTGGCGCTGAGCCGAGACTTACATCAAGGGCGTCACCAAGGGAGGCTAATAACTTTGAGGCGAGCTAAACTGTACTTCCAGGGCCCAAGTGGTGATACTGCCCTGGAGCCCCGGCTAGGCCGGGAGGCTGTTGGGTGCGGAGACGCGGTGAAGTCCCCCAACGGGGATCTCGTGGTTCCGCACTTAAACAGCGTAGAGGGTATTCACAAGATATTTTTGTGGATAGTATGCCGTAAGCCGCGCGGACTGCTTAACGGCTTATCCGTTTCGCACCGTGAGACTTGCGAGAGGCCAGGTGTGAGGTCCGTTCGTTAGTGTGCCCTTTAAGGGCGCCAACGTCTGTAAATAGAGGTTTTACCTGCGTAATAAAAAAAAGTGCCCAAGCGGTGACACTTCACACTAGGTTAGGTTAGTGTTGTGACCATAACGCGAGAGCCGAGCAACACAGTGTATCCTTGTCATTCTCTATACAGTATGAAAAGGAGAGACTGATGTTAAATTTAGTTTTAAGTTTAGAGAATCACGCCAGAATTGGCACCAGTGTTATATGTCTAAAGTTATTAGGGATAGCGTGCATTCCGGCTACAAATATTATTTATTTATATCACATTGCTCATGTACATTTTTTATTATAAGGTCTTACATACTTAATAGAGAGTGGTACATGACCCCGTTGGGGTGTTGCAACAAACTTAAGCTTAACATTAAATACATTAATTTCACTTAATTGTTGATCATATTAAATCACATCAGGTCCAACCAAATTTAAACAAAATCAATCCATTTTAAAAATTAATCAAGTAAATTTATGTCATATCATATCATCATAATCATATCATATCATAATAGTCAAATCAAAATCATATCGTATCAAGTTAAATCAAATCAAATCAAATTATTAAGTCAAACTAAATCAAATCAAATAAACAGGTCAAGCATAATTAAGTTAAATTAAATTAACTTTATTTTTCATTCATAAATTCATCAACAGAATAATATGCTTTTTTTATAAGATGCTGCTTCAATTTATTCTTAAATATGTTTATATTAGATTCTGTTTTAATAATAACGGGAATTTTATTATATATTAATATGGATCGGTATAATGGTCCATTTTTATACATCTCCAGTTTAGGTTCGGGAGGAATCAGATTAAATTGGCGGCGAGGATTATTATTTCTTTTATAATATGTCTGATATTTGCGTACAAACATTGCTAATTCCATAATATATATTGATGGGAGGGTTAGTAATTCTTTTTTAATAAAGTATGGCCTGCAGCTTTCTCTTGGTCGTATATTGTAAATAATACGCAGGCATTTCTTTTGTGAGATAAACAGATCATGTGCATTGGTACTTTGCCTCTAGAGAATAATTCCGTAACTTAACCATGCGTATGCATACGCATAATAAGCCGATAAAGCACATTTTATATTAGTATTGGTTTTTAGCACGCTTAAGGCGTAGGTAAATTTCGATATTTTTTTCCTAATTTGTTCAACATGGGCCTTCCAGTTCAAGTGTGAATCGATAGTTATGCCTAAAAATTGCACGTTGGATACTTCTTTTATATTTTGTGAAGTTTTAGCCTCATTTAGATCTATGGATGGATATTAGGAATAATGCTCTTTAGAGATATATTGATTCGGGGTTTCAATTATTGGTACTAAGTATAACAGTCCTCTAATATACACTCGTGTGACCCTGACCTCAAGAAAGTAGTAATTACAGAAAAATAAACTTAAAAATTGGCGGTATGGGTACAGTACCCTTTGCCTTCTCAGAATGAGTAAGGAAATTTTAAAAAAATATCTTGCACTGAGTGATATGATTTTTGAGTGTTTTACCTACAAAATTAAAATAATTTATCTTAATTAAATGTTAAAATTTACATAATCTAAACAAGGTTTGCAGTTTTACATTGGGCATGGATAACCGTGCGTTTAATTATTGTATTTTAGTGGGAGTGACCTCTGAATCTGTTGTTATTGACTGTCAAATAATCTAAAATGACATGATTATTGCGCATTTGATGGTATATAAATATTTATTCACTTCGTTACGATCACGCCAACAATGTATTGAAGGGTTAAATGTCCACGCTGAACAATATTCAAATGGCCAACAACTCATCTTCATTTATAAAAGTGAAACAAGAATTTCAATACGATACGAAGGCATATTGTAGGTTCTGCGCGGAGCTCGGTAACAGAAACGACTTGGTGGACCTCACTCTCGACGAGGAGACCTACACAGAGTTTCTAAAGATTCTGGCTTTCCTCAAAATCGACTATGTCGACTTCTCGAGCACAGATGACCTGCCAAAAACTATTTGTGAGCCTTGCTCTACAGCTTTGAATGACGCGTTTTTCTTCCTCAAGAAGGTAAAGCGGTCTCAGTCGTACCTCAAGTCCTTCTACAGCAAAGCAATGAGAACTAAGAAGGAAACTGAGGAAGCAACCTCGGCACGAAGCAAAGACGAACAGGCTCCGAATACTTCAAACAGTCAAAGCATAAATGCCGCGAATAGTATTGCCAACCTACCCTTGCAGGGTGAAATGGATGAGAGTTCTACTTCGGTGCAAGAGGGTGTTGTTATGCCGATAGTTGAATTTCAGTGCGAAAGTTCTGATTCGTCTAGTGATAGTGAAGCTCTTATCAAATATGAAACGGGCTATAAGCTGAAGCCGAAGAAGAGGCCTGTTAGACGTAAAGTCAGCACAGTGTACAGAAAACCAAGGACGAGAAAGACAGTTGAGAAGAGAACAAAGGTTATGAAAGGATCTTGGAATCTGTACAAATGGATTTGTATTCATTGCAGTGTGAAATGTGATACGATGTATGAATTAAGAAATCACAGCAAGGAAATGCATAACATCTGCTACGGTTTCAAGTGCGTTGACTGTGAGGATGATTTCAACACGTTTAACTCTTTCATCGAGCATGTGCGGAGGCATCGTATGAACTTGAGGTTTGTGTGATTTTGTTTCTTAGAACTTTATAAATAAATTAGTTTTGTTCAAACAATGATACTTATAAATTATCCATTGTAAGTGTTTATTTAAGGTATTATAAGGGACTTTCTATATGAAATAATAAAGTCAGTATTACTTAGTCCCAGGTTACCAGACCTGGTGTCAGGACTAGTTTTTATATATCGGAAAAAAATGAGTCTATTAACCAATAATTAAAATCAAAGCACCTGAACTGCTTCATTATTTTAAATAATATTTAAATTTCAGTGTGATACGGTTATACAAAACGAAAAGATATCAGGACAAGGGATACAGGTTACAGAGATTTTTCAATTATGGGTAAAAGAGGGTGCAAATTGTAGGTGGGCCAGGATGCCAGATTTTTTTAAATACTCCTGGTTGCTTTCACAAAATAGAAAATTACGTACTTTGTCAGACCCATCTTTCCCAGTGGGCACTTTGGGCAAGTGCCCGGGGCCCCGTGATTGATAGGTGGGCACCTCAGATCACAAAAATACAAAGTCCCTAGTTCTTGTTAGATCACCAAACGGGGGTCAGAGGGGCCCCAATATCCTAATATGCCCAGGGCCTCCAATAGGTCAAAGACGGCACTGTCGCTAACTTTTTAAATAAAAGATAAAATTGCAAATCCATCGATAGTTTTCAAAACAAGTTATCTTAGTGGCGTTTATAATAAAGCAGAAGGGGATTGAAGCAGATTAGATTAAATCAAGAGGGGAGGATACGGCGCTCACGGCTCAAAAGTGTTCCGCTTAAATTGTATTCACTGACTAGCCCCGTGATTATCACTTCTATCTGCTTAAAGCAGTCAGCGAATAGGCCTACTGGGCTACCCTACAGTATTAGTAAATAAGACCTATTCTAGACGGATGTAATCCAGCGTACCAACCAAGGTGACCTTGCCCGTTGCCATCCATCTAGATGAAGGATGTAATCCAAATTTTGATTTGAACTTCAACGTCCTTGGATTACGGGCGCGTGTTTACATCCACCAAAGACAGTTGCGTAGGGACACGATATCGAATACAAAGTATCGATACTGTACTCATGATTAGTATCGGTAAAAAAGTATCGTACTCGTCAAAGTATCGAAACAAAAGTGCCGATACTTCAAAGTATCGAGTACATTTCATAGGGCCTTATTGGATCCTCTGTAGCCTGATGAGCAACCCCCATGCAAGACAAACAATCGAATTTTATTATAGTAAGTATAATCAAAAACAAAAAAAGACATGTAAATTAAATTCACAAGTTGCTATATTATATAATGAAAAGAAAATAGCTGTGATTTCTGACACTAAAAAGTGTTCATTAATATTAATTTCACAATTAAAATGATAATTAAAAAGATCGAAATCTTTATCAATTTAAAAGTATGAAACTTTTCAGATTTGTTTCAAATTAAACTTACTTTTGTTGAATTTTATCATTAAAAAACATTATACCCATTAACTTGAATCTGACACGCAGTTAACGGCGGCCATTGGCATGCTTCACTTATGATTATAATTATAGAAGAGGTTACGTCCGTGTTTTTTCAGGTCCGTGGTTTCAAATAGGTATACGTATACACAGCACAGACAAAAGCGCAAAATAAACACAGTCACAGATTGGAAAGAATTTGAATATGTCAGTTACTGACTTTATAACAACGCAATGGAACGTTTAAGAAGGTTGGCGTTGATGGCGTTGCCATCAATATGCGGCGCTTATCCAAATTTTTAAAGATATCGATACTTGCTAAAAAGTACTCATTTAGTATCGAGTACAAAAGTATCGGTATCGAAAGGAAAAGTACTCGATACCACAAAGTATCGATACTTTTTTCGTGTCCCTACAGTCGCGCTGTGGCAGTCAGCGGGTGCGCACGTATGCATGTAAAAAATGACGTCCGAAGACCAGAGTCGCGAACGCGATATTACTAGTGAACTAATTAATATCTATAGAGATCTTCCATGCTTATGGGACATTACGTCGGAATCATATAAAGATGCTCGTCAAAAATAAAATGCGTGTGAGATATTACTCCAAAAGTATAGGGAGTTGGACATAAGTTTGAAAGGCTGAGAATCATTCGCTCTTTAACCAACGCTTCATCCACTTTCTCTTTTTGTGTTGTTTTTGTCGTCTATTGCACACAAAACTCCTAAGGCAATTCCCATTTTTTGAAATTTAGACAAACTGACTCCCAATCTACGTACAAAAAGACTTGCACCGAACAACGGGCATAGAATTATTGTTCCATAAAGTCTAGTCTCATTCTTTGCAGATTCTACTGTCAATATTGTAACGAGCGTTTCGACACTCACACGGCTTGCTTCGACCATACCGCTATGCATTGGGAGGGCACCCAGAAAGTGTGCGATCGTTGCGGAGAAGTTTTACCCGATCAGGCGTCTTTGGAGCGCCACAGGCGTGCTTACAAGAGGAAGGTTATCGCAAGACACTCCCGCAGGAAAGGCATAGTGATAATACAGGAGTACAATGATAAGTATGGCGAGCCGGACGTGCTAAGGTCGTGGATTGATTACGAATGGACTTGTTTGCAGTGCTGTGCCCGGCAGCCAGATCTGGAATCGCTTAGGCGGCATTCTCAGCAGGTAAATTGAGCTTTTGTTATAAAGATTATAAGGGAACATACTGTTTCCCACCACCCACCCTTTTTTTCTTTTTCCCTAAATCAAAAGTCAAAATAAGTGGCAGTCGAGTCAAACCCCCTTTCTCTATGTTTCAGTAAATGTGTGGGGATTTACTGGAACCTCCCCGTGGACTTGTTGAGGGAACGTCGAAAGGCACTTTCCGCTATTTTGTTTCACTTGCCAACAGTTATGCATGTTCCCGAACACTTAGTGGTTAAAATAATCCACCATTATTAGACACTAACGTCCGCCACAACACAATTTTTAACAAGAAAAACAAAACGGCTAAAGTGACGCTTCCCGATCCCGCCAAAAAGTCCCTCTCGCCCTTGGTGACCATCCGTTGTATATAGTGTTGCCAGGACCGACTTCTTTTAAATCGGTACAAGAGGTCACAAAATCGGGATTTAGGGTTGCAGATCGGGACAGTAAACAAAAAACAAAGGGGTTTTATTGCGTTCTAAACTACTATTGCAAGTATATTGGTTGCTTTCCAACTACAGAGCATAATGCGACTCAGTGCCGCACAATGCCGAATTATGCTGATGCTTAATTGGAACGTGAATTAGTTTTCAAATGCACCAGCAGAGTGCGCTAAGTTCAGTGTTGAAAAAAAAGTCAATGTTTGTACCTTCATCCATACTTATATTTATTTTTTTAACAGTTTGAATTAACTTTGATTGTTTAAAAAAAACTATTTAATAAAACGAAAGCTTTAATTCAACAATAAATAATATTACTTACGATAACATATAAATAAAACATTTCGATCAATGCCAACTAAAGGAAAAAACACTTGTTAATTTTCTGTCACTGGGTTGGTACGATTGCACGCATCACACGAAAGCATTACTTTTGAGAGTGCTCAATTGTGCGAAGCGATGCTGTAGTTGGAACACTCAACTTTAAACATTATGCCGCATAATGCGCTATAATGCTGTAATTGGAAAGCTACCATAGTATTATATTGGCGTCGATTCTGGCGTGATTCTCTAAACTTAAAACTAAATTTAACATCAGTCTCTCCTTTTTATTCTGTATAGAGAATGACAAGGATACACTGTTGTCAATTTTAAGTTTAGATTTACAGAATCGTGTTAGAATCGCCACTATTAATTACCTAATTTTCATTTTTTGATCAATCGCGACATTTGCGTCCACTTTTTTTTGTAGGGGTAAAAAATGTTAAACTCGCGTCAGATTAAACACGTGGGCTGATCGCATCATGGCACACAATAAAATTGGAAAGGTTGTTGACTTTCAATATATTGGACGAAATATAGTAATATTTTATTTTATCGTATTATAATAATAAGTCTCTATCTAGGACGTCCACGTGGCAGCTTTATTGCTAAGAAAATGCATTTTTTTACAATAGATGTCGCTAGGTGCGCTTAAATGTGATTCATGTAAGTTGATTTCTTTACAATAGATGTCGCTAAGTGCGCTTAAACGTGATTCATGTAATTTGATTTTTCTGAGAGATAAACTTTTTTAATGTAACATAAATTGTGATGTTTGTGTACGATAGCGCAATAAATAAATACTGTATTCCACCACACACATAATAGTACTTTTATACTGATAATTAAAGCAATTCGTGCAAAATTGTTCCCTAACCATTCCAAAATATCGTAAATGCACAACGTTAATATTCAAGTTTTCACTTCACTTCTGCCGGCACTCCCGGAGTGCAATCCGTCGTTTTTTTTGTTTTTTACTGTATTTAAAGTAAATGTTTTTATATAGCTCATACAATGACGTATTATGATGCATTTTTTAGATACAGCTATGTGATTAAAGTAGGTTATACAAGGTTACTGTACGTGATTCGTACAATAAAAATGGTGTCAAATATTTTATTGTAAAAGTGTTTTTGCCTCATAATTGTCTTTATTAATATGTTCGCTTGCCGCGTAACCTTCTATAGTTTTATTTAGGTTTTAATATAGTCCTTTTGGTCGAAATAGGGTGCAAGGGCCGTGACCCACCACGTGGGTATAGTGCGGATTGGTGCGCTTACGACTACAGTTTTTTTTTTGGAGTTTACTCCTTAAGAATCGTTTTGCATATATAAGGGGCCCGGTATGAGAGAAATGTGAGGAGTGAAATCTATCGATGAATGACCTCGTTACGTTTTTACTGTCTACGCTGTAGCAGCCGTAGTGCTACACCGTAGCACAGTATCGTAGCGTACCTTTTTGCCTACGACGACAAAGAAACCGCGTCGGTGTGGCATTCGTTGAACACAAAACCATTGTGCTTTTTAGTTTTTTATATATAGAGGTAGGCAAATGACTTTACCCCACCTGATGTTAAGTGGTAATAAAGTCCAAACGCGAAGATAGCTCGTACAGCAATTATAAACTGCCACACCAACCATCCTCACCTTGCCGGCCTGCAAAAATGCTTCTTCACGCCTCTCTTAAAGGACCCCAGATTATTGGAAGGAGGGAACACTTGCGCGGGTAAAGAATTCCACTTACGAATAGTACGACAAAGAAATGAGTCACCAAATTTCCTTGTTCGTGTAGGAACAGTGGCCACAGTAAGTCGGTGGTAACGTAGGCCAGCGCGCGTGGTCCTCTGAAGAAAAGGTGATGGAGGAATAAGCGTGAATAACTCCTCAGAACACTCGCCGTGGTATAGTCTGCAGATGTAACAGGGACCAACGGCGGGTGATCTAGAGATAATAAATTTTTGGTCACAAGTTGCTTGCCTTCCGCGATCTCAGATCATTGCGCCATCGATATTTGCAGTACATCTTTATATATATAATTCTTCTGTGAGTGTGTATGTCACTGAACTTCTCTTAAACGACTGGACCGATTTTGATGAAATTTTTTGTGTGTGTTCAAGGGATCTGAGAATGGTTTAGATTCACAATTTTGTCCGCTGGACAACCCCTATTTTTTTAGGGCGGTACGAAGTTCGCTGGGTCAGCTAGTAGATATATAATTTTGCCAACCTACGTGGTATTCACGGTGATTTTCAAGGTATTTTGTTTTCGCATTTGTGATACTCCTGGTGTTGCAAGTGTCCATGGGCGACGGTGATCACTTACGTACGTAAGTGGGCACGTACTTAGGTGAGCCGTTTGCTCGTATGCTTCCTATAACATAAAAAAAAGGTGTCGCCTACTCAGAGGTTACGTTTGAATCTCGGTGGAGCAGATGTTTGTATGATAAATATAAGCCTTTGTACCTAAGTCATGGATGTTTTTATGTATTTATTAACGAATAAGAAACTGCTTCATTTTTAGGGTTAGGGTAAAGTGCGTATTCCACCTGACTAAATTCAGACGTTCCAAATCATTCAGTAACTAATTCGTAAAACGATCTCACGCTATTGACTAATGTTTATGGAGTCCGTAAAAAGATGGATATTCATCATTCAGTTGTGTATTTCAGTAAAAATAACCAAATCAAATACTCCATTTTCAAGTTGCCGCGAAAACGTTTCTCTGGACAATATGGCGTCTTACTAGTGTGTGACGTCACACGACTGTTATTAAAACGTCAAACGATACAATGTAATGTCACTTTAACCAGAAATTTACTTGCGTGTGACATCATTTTAGGCTCCTCCAATCCCAAGCGTTTTGGGTCACGTGACAATAGACAAGAAAACTATTATCTTTTTCGTTAGTTTTTAGTAAAATTATGAATATTTTTTTTAGTAAAAATAGTAAAAACCCCTGTCAATATTCATTCTAAACACAGATGCTAACAATTGGCACTTTATTTTTAACACTGTCAAATACCCTATTAGCATCCTAAATCGGAAGAAGTATGGCTTCTGACTGACTGACTGAATAATTTAGTATCCTAATTAGAAAGCGATTTAGGAACGTGTGATAGGTTTTAGATGCTTCAGTCGCACCGCAGGCGTCACTGCGCGAGGACGTTATTTTGTCTACGATTACGAATTACGCGAGTGCGCGATGTCGACGGTAAACGAAAAAGAAGTTATGAGTAACATAATCGAATTTGTATAAACATATGCCGTATCTTTGGAACAAAAACGATAAAAATAATATTAATATTCTTTCATCCACGTTTTTCGTTTTTTACTTCATTTTATTTTTATTGAGCCAACGGCCAGGTCACAATACATCTTCTTCTTCTTCTTGTTGCTACGGGCGTTTCCGCAACTCGACGTCCTTATGGCGCCTGTTTTGCTTGAGGAGGGTGTATGGCCGGAATCACTCCAGCCAGCCCAGCTCCCCCAGGAACGCCCCCAGGGCCTTCACATTGGTGACTGCCTCTTGAAGGTTTCCCGGTGAGCCGAGGTATTTCGCCCGGTATTCGGCCACTCCGTTGCATTCCAGCAGAACGTGAGTAGCTGTTTCTTCTGCCTCCATGCATCCTCTGCATAGGGGGCTGTCCGTGACACCTAAGTTAAAAAGATGTCTGTTAAAATGTGCATGTCCAGTGATAGCACCCGTTATGGTAACGGGTAGGTTTGCTTAGCTGTAGGAGAGTTTTGGAGAAGGCAGCGTTCACCCGTGGCAAAGCGAGCTTGGTCTGCCTGCACGTCTCCAGGTCGAGCCAGTATTGTTGGTGTAGTTCGGCAGTGTGCTCGCGGATTTTATTGACGAGACAGCTTACCGGTATTGGGACGATTGGTTCAGGACCTGTTGGGGTCGTGTCAGATCCCTTCCGGGCCAGCTCATCCGCAGCGTCGTTTCCGCGTGATCCACTGTGTCCCTTGATCCATTGGATGGTGATGGAATTGCTTGACCCTACCTTGTTTAAGGTTTGGTGGCATTCCTGTAGGAGGCTCGATCTGACTAAGCAGGCATCTAGAGCTTGTAGGACTGATTTACTGTCGGACAGTATTCGTATTTCCTGACCTGTTACCTTTCTTGAAATGATCGCTGTTGCCGCCAGTGTGATGCCCATACATTCAGCTTGGAACACTGTGTTGTATGGGCTTAAGGGGAACGCGATGTGTATGTT